ATAAAATTAAAGGTGCAAAAAAAGGGAAGCACTACCAATAGTGTCAAATTGTAAGCTAAATCACAACTAATTTTCTAAAACAAGCTTTAGCTGTCTTGTTCAAATAAAATGCATTTCGTAGGATAATAGTGTGGAGATTATCCACTTATAGGGGTGGCTTCTCAGATTACCAAGAGCCTGAGGAAATATTTGATTAATTTTTGCTATTTGATGGGCATAAAAGAGACATTGACTGCCTGCCCATGGGTAGACATCTTTTAAATACGGTGCTAAAGAAGTTAGTTTGAGTAATTATCTGCAATTTAATTACAGCTATAAGAAAAAGGTCATATATAGTGGTGGTATGAAACTGTTATTCCAACTTGCCACTCAGAGGTCCTGTGCAGGAATACTTTAGGACATCAGTGGTCTCCAACAAAAGATCATTCTGTCCTACTAATCCCAACAAATTCTGTAAAACAAGCTTTAGTCCAACCTGTTTGATCAAGTGCATTTTGGTAAGAAAATCCTTTTGAGATGATCAACTTACAGAATATGGGTGCTCCAAAAATCAAGAACCTGAGGACATTTTGAATTCATTTTTGCCCAGAGATTGGCTTTAAAGAGACACTGACTGCCCATGGCAAAGAGGTCTTCCCACCCCAGTTCCTCTGTTGTCACTGGACAGAAAACCTGGTGCTCCTGGGTATGGTACCCAGCCCTCCTCCAATTGTCAGTGCACAGACCCGCAGCCAATCGCTAGAGCTAAGTCATATCACATGGTGGAGAGGGTGCGATGTCACTGCTTTTATTAGCCTTTGACACAGTCAAGGCTTTGAATTTATGTGTCAGATACATTGTAGGAGTGGCACTGAATGGCTGGTAATGTGAGGTTGAATGGGACAATATGGTGCCTTTATAAACACACTGCTACTTTGCCCTAACTGATTTTCTAAAAGTAAATAGACTGGGCTTTGCAAATAAATTTTCCTCAGAACCTAGTGAATGAGGTAAAGATCTGTTGACTTCCTCCTCCAATCATATACAAGCAAAAATCTTCTCAATTTTCCCTGCACATGATTGGGTGTTGGTTTCAACATGAAATTTACCAGATTTACTAAGCTGTGATGAAAATCCCCATGCAAAGTGTAACTTCAACTTCCCTTGCAATGTGAACAGTCTATTTTCCTGTAGTAACTCAACTCCAGTGTCTTTTCATATGGAAACCTCTGTGAATAGATTTAGACTTTTCAAACACTGCAGTTATCCACCAGATTTATGTGCCTAGTGTATCTTACTTTCAGAGGACTCTGCAAGTCTACTTCTCCCAAAGCTACTTTTTTGGTAGTGTAATTTGTCTTTGTATTAAATACAGATGTTTAGGACATGGTTCTTGTGGACTTTTTGCACTGATCCATATATCTGACAAAGCTATAAACTATTGTGCCCTTGTAAAACCATTACATAAATTAGAGAAGTAAAGATTCTTAACTCTAGAAAGGAAGGAACACAATATTCCCTCATATATGGATATCACCACCAATCAGTGTACAAGGCCAAGAGCCAAATTTTACTGAGGACGATTTACTGCTTCAGCCAACTCTGACTTCAATGTGGAACTTTTACAAGGCTTGACTTGCAATTAAATCTTCCCTAAATGCCATCATTGCAAGATTTCATCTCAGTTGTAACCTTTTGCTACTGAAAATAAGAAGTGCAGGAAAGCAGAATTTATACTGTACATAAGGGCCAATTAAACAGCAGCAGCTTAACTTAATTAGTACAAGATGTACCTCTATTTCACGTATGCATCCATTTTAAAATTGAATCCACCATATCCCAATTATTTCTGGAACTAGGAATGTGTTCTCAACCATTTTCTTCTACAGGCCATTCTGGGAATACACTGAGACTGACCAGGACAAACAGGATTTTTGTTTATGTTTACTTTAAGGCCTGTTGCACATAGAAAGTTCTAGTTGATGTTGGTGCCTCCCAACATTTTAGTGTGCCCGGGAGACACATACAGTGTTGAGTCCCACTGCATGCAGCCTGAAAAAGTCTACAGAGGGCTGTAGCTGGCCAAGACTGAACGTGGTACTGTGGTGCTTTCATTTAGGGTTCTATGAATTCAGGAATGAATGCCTGGAAAGCAGAAGACTGGGAAGGATGCATAGCAGCTAGACATCCCTATATGCAAAGGGCCTAACTCTTTTTTATTACACGTGTGTCTGTCATTTGAAATAATTGTCTGCAGTATATATGTACTGTCAGCACATTGTCACTTTCACAACTTCCCTTGCCTTCTTTCTGTATGTCAATACAACTTACACATTGCATTTTCCTTTAAGCCTAATATCCCCAACCATGTTATATAACAGAGTCATGGCAGTGATAGAAAGCTTTACAGACATTACAGTGTAAAGAAAGCATTGCACTCATAACTGTTTACTACACATTCTTTCTGTATTGCTCCCAACCATTTTTATATTCATTGAAAAACCTTGTGTCTACAAATATCTGCAGCATTAAAAAAAACAGTTGCTGCTTTTTGTAGCACATCAAATATACAGAGTATGCAAGGCACTTTATTTATCTCTCATCATGTTGTGAGATGTTTAAAGTGGAGAAAGAGCCGAATTGTCCTCCACCCACACTACAAAATGTGAAGCTAATTGCTTAGTATTCCATGGAAATATCCATCTGATTTACGAAGTAGATGTGTTCTCTACATAATTAGCACAAAACAGTATGTTCCATAATTAACTGCAACACAGTGTGGCTATTTATGTACTACAGGACATTAAGGTTCCTTGTAAGCTCTCTCATAGATAATGAGGCAAAAAAGGAAAATGATCTTTTTACACATGCTATTACAAGAAATGAGTTTTTAGTTTGATTTTTGACATGGTTCTTCGGCCTTGACAAGATTGGAGTTTAACAATATGGGCTGTCTCATTATGAATGCCCTTCTTCTTTTACAAAGCTGTGGAAGGATTGTAGCCTTAAAAAGATCCATTTTTATGACATTCAGAAAAAATCTAGCCTAAATGTTTCTTCTTTGATAAGTAACGTGCATCCATTGTTGGAAAAATGTGCCATGTGGTAGATTTCTTAAAGAATGTATGTTTCCACTAAGCTTAGTTCAGCTATATTCACTGTATTCATCCAATCATGGACATAAGAATATCATTTTGTATATGTTTGGATGTTCATAATTAAATGTATACTCTTTTAGTAAATTACTTTTAGTGGGGGAATCACTGTCGAGCTACTACCTGTAGACTTGAAGAAATAGGAATTGGCTTGACTTTTTTGTGTGCAGTTGCCCACAAGATTCTGTCTGAGCTTCACACATTGAGAATGTTGCATGAATATGAATTTGAGACTGTAAATTAGGGAGTTCTAAAAAGCGTTTTTAGTATTTTTACATGAGAAATTGTTGTTTTTCAGACAGAAGCCACATCAAAAATGAGGTATACACGTGTTGATTCATGATTGTATGCAAACTGGTAATATATAGACCCCTGTGTATGTATTTTAAATATTTTAAACTGGGTACTGGGTTTTAAAATATGAGAGAGAAAACAACAGACATTGGGGTAGATTTACTAAAGCTGGTGCACTCAGAATCTGGTGCAGTTGTGCATGATAGTCAATCAGCTTCTAACTTCAGTGTGTTGAGTTAAGCTTTGATAATAAAACCTGGAAGCTGATCGGTTTCTGTGCAGAGCTGCACCTGATTTAGCACTTTCCAGTTTTAGTAAATAACCCCCTATGTATTAATGCTTGGACAAATAAATGTTGGGTCAAAGGGAAAAATAAACCCTCCACCCCATGTATATTAACAAGTATGGGCACCTTAATTGAAAGAAATTGCATATCAATTATTTATTATGGTTACTTATATAGTGCCATCAATTTTCACACATACTTTACATTTAAATATTGTACATTCACATCAGTCCCTGCCCTCAATTAGCATAACATCTAAAGTCCCTAAATCACATTCATACTAGGGCCAATTTAGACAGGAGCAAATTAATCTACCAACATGTCTTTCCCCCAGGAAACCCATATAGGTACAGGGACAACATGCAAACTCCAGGCAAGTGATGCCATGGTTGTGATTCAAACCAATGATCCTAGTACTGCTAGGCAGAAGTGCTAAACATTTAGCCACTGTGCTGTCCATATCAATTAAAAAAAGCAGAAAATGTCATACCTAATAATTTGGAAACCTTAAAATAATTTTAAGACCTAACTTTGGACTTGAACCACTACTTTTCTACATTTCACCATCATCTACAGTACCTGATGGAACTGGTCTTTGAACCTGCAGAAGTTAAATATGTGTGGAGAGTTATTTTTAGGACAAATGTACAATAGGCAAATATTGAAATTTTAGGAGGGAGACAACACCAGGACTTAGCTGCAGATCAAGAATAACTTTCCATTTTTTGACTTTGAGAAAACATACGGTTTCAGCAAGCATTTCTCAATCAGCACATGTCAACTAGATGCACTATAATCTCATGTCTATTTAAAGCTATGCAATCTGAAACAATAGTTCAGATGTTGACAGGACTAACTGTAAATAACTCAAGGCTATCTCCGAACAAGACAGCTTCATGTCAGACTGAATGCTGTGATTCTCACAAGCAGCAAAGCTGCAAACGGGACACAACTCGGTACAATGGACAAAATATGAAGCAAATGTGCTGTAGCATTTAACAGTGATGATAAAATATGTCTAAGCAAATGCATCAAACAGCAAAAGGACTGTGAGATTTTCAGATGGCTTGTTTTTTGAAGATAGGTTTATATACCCTCTGCAAAACAAATATTTGTTTCCTATAGCTGGTGGAGTGGTCCTAATCAGGTGTCAGTGAAGCTATGACTAGTGGGTTAAAGACAAACAAGCGGCCGCAGGCAGATGAACTCACCCATGATACACCTACAGACTGCCCTCGCAGAGAGGGACAGCTTGTAGGTAGGGACCAGGGGTGGACTGACAACTCATGGGGCCCCCGGGCAATAGGGGATCATGAGGCCCCTGTGTCCTTGCCCAAACTCAAAAAAGCCTATGAAAAAGGTACCAGGGGCATCTCATGGGGCCCCCTACTGACCCCGGGCCCTCGGGCAGTGCCCGAGTTTCCAAATGGTCAGTCCGCCCCTGGTAGGGACTCTCTGTGTGTGTTTGGTGCTGGCTCCATAAAGATGTATCATGAGTGACATCACCAGTGTGTGGCTGCTTGATTGTCTCTCTATGGAACAAGGATTGTGGACTGGCTGCCTATTAGCCAGCAACCAATACATCCACAGCAAGGATAGAGAACAATTTGTGGAGTCTGGAGCAGTGTCCTATTTTTGTATGTCTGCTAACTATGAATAATGGGTTGTTCTATTTTTCTTTCCCTAAATAAAATATTGTGTATGTGTAGGGCCAACTAAAAAGCTAAAATGGCTGATTGCCTGGCTTAAGAAAAAGGGAATGCTACTTAACTTAATTGATATTGATATCACAGGAGGTGTACATTAACAACATAGAAATATTAAAGTGAACCTGTTATGCAGTGCAAAGCAACAGGCTCAAATTTCTGCATAGGGCATACGTACGTTTTACTGCACTGCTCCATTCTTCTAGCTTGGCCTAGAAATTCCTGGTACTTCAGATGTAGGAAATCCACAATTTAGGTCCTGCATAAAAGTCCTAATAATCGTTATTTTTTTTTGTTTTGCAAAATCGCATATACAGAATATTAGTGTTTTTTTCAGGCACCAGTGTTAATATACAGTTGCACATCCAAGTATATTATATTTCAGCTTACCTTCTGATCCTTTGTCAAGTCAGAGCTCATTTACAGCTCTGTGATGACAGTGATTCCAGAAGAAAATTATTATTCTGTATATGCTATTTTGCAATGAATGAATTTGATTAAGTCCACTTTGCAGGACCTATATTGTGAATCTACTGGTGATGCCCTCTATCCACTTTAGGATTTGAGCCACTGACATAAGGCAAGATTTTATTGTTGTTATCCACTACTGGTGTGTTATCCACTACATTTTGAAACGTAGGGTAGGGATGGATGACACTTCCTACAAAAACTTTATTCCTGATGAACCATTTGCCCATGTTAAGTGCCATCATAGAGGACAGGAGAAGTGTGCACACCCCTTCAGAAAAATTCAACTTTGTATATCACTCTTCAGACTCACACAATTATATTCTAAACCCATTCTTTTACTATAGCCCAGTTAGAGGACATGAATAGTCCTGGAATTTTACATTTTCAACATTTTTCCTGAGCTTCTTTAGTTCCAGAAGTATAGATGTTTGAGAAAGGAGTATACCTTCCAACAGCTGATTATTTCAATTTTTTAAATTACTATAATAAAGGAATGGTTTTAGAAAATGATATTGCTGATCTGACAAAGAATATATGAAGCAGGATTGACGACTGTCAGAGTTGTTGGACCAAAACACTTTATGGAAATGGAGGTTCTCTGGCACCTTGTACTTGAATCAAGTTTTAGTAAGTTCAAAAACATTAGAATCAAAGCTTACAAACTGAATCTATATCAGGTCAGTGTCAAATCAGAGTAGTGGGGAAATTAATAAAATGTAAGTGAAAGGGAAGTACATGTAACTTTTAGATGCATTAAAGTAAACCTTTACCAGAACTGTTGTCTTTTAATGGTTTGATATGGTAGTTAAAGTGTTCTATTTTCTTGTGTATTCCTATCACAGTTTTATAAAAACCATTTGTTATCTTTTTCTGACATCTTGTCTGCAATCTCACACATAATGAACATTATATGCCTTCAAACATTTTCTCGACCCAGGAGAAGATCAATGGAAGATGAAGGATTTTTCAACTGTTGACCAACAATCTTTCTTGCTTAGCTCCAAGCTGTCTTATATTATGAAATGCTCATTAATAGTGGCAGAAAATGTTACTGTGCTCAGTGTACTGCCTTTATTATACCTTCAATATATCTTTTTAAACAGTTTTGCCATGGTAAAGGCTCCGTTTACGTTGACATTCCAGATAATTAAGTCAGAGCCTACAGAACCTAGGCTAGGATGAACTACCATTGGGTCTTCATGTTATCAAACTGATGTCTTTCTTTAACAACACTGCAGTGATTGGCTATACATGATTTTTAGAGGCTGTAGTTTACTTTTCTCTAAGCAGCAAGCAGAGCCAATTGACATTTTAAAACACTACATATTGTTCTTTTAAACTGTAAGTCTTTTGAAAATGCTGCGTTAATATTGGCTTCAGTGAATACAAGTCTAAAAGAGAGAATAATGAAAATAATTTACACCTAGCTCATTCTTTGTAAGATAAGATCGAAGGAAAAAAAAGGCACTCTGCTGACGATACACATAGCTGTTTTTTTTTCTTTTGTAGTTACACCTCATTGCATATATATTTAACCTCTCTGTGTCTTGCAGAGTAAGAACCTCTTCAGTATAGTCTAGATTTCAATGTCAGTATTGACACGATGGTCTGTGTATCTCAAATGAAATGAAGCTGTGGGAAGCAAAGCATTTAGAAGACAGTAGTCATATATGTCATGTTGTTAAAGATCAACTCCTAGCAACATGCAACATGCACATGTGAAAAATATATAGTATGTAGGAGCTTCATTGCCTGCATTTCTCTTTGTTCAACCAGTCCTCAGATTTACACAGCCCTATCTGACAACTCAGCCAAGTTTGTGATTTATCTGCTGTATGCAGAGCAATACATCTGCAGTAAGTCACCTCCCTGTCTACATCCTTTGTTTGAACAATGAAATAGTAGCAGTAGACTTAATAGTGCATCACTCCGCTCTCCTTCTATCAACAGGTTCCTTGTCAACCCATGTGCATGTAGAATATTTGATTGGCTCCTAGTGCTGCTGCTCCTCTCAGACTACTGTATATTAATAAATATGTATCAGCATCAAGTGGTGTTATTTTACAGTATATGTGGCTTGAGACCAGCTGTAGGCTAAAAAAAAATCCTGAAAAGATGGCAATGGGGTACCTAACAGCATTTAAACGTGAATATAAAAAATGTAAAACATTTTTTACTTGTGAGCCAATAAGGTGTATAATAAACGGCTTCTATCAATAAGATCGCAGGCTATCTTGCTCACCCTCATAAATGTGAGTTATCAGTGCATACAAATGAAGAAAATATAGATGCCGTGCTCTATCAAGACCTATTACCTGTATAAAAACTGTATTTGCATTAAATCTCTAATAGCTGCATAATCTCTTATGTGTAACCATACATGATTGTGATGCCAATCAATACCCAAACATGTGTTGGTAATAATGAATAAATGAATCTGAAAAATATATAACAAAGTTGGTGATAAAAAAAAATGAAAGTCTGTGCAAAATTATTCAAATTTGTGTCCTTCGATGATTAAATAAATAATCCAATTAATACATAAATAAATAAAATAAAAATCGAGAAATATGGAAAATAAATAAAAGGTAAAAATTCAATGAATTTTGTGCAAAAACGCAAAACAAACTTGGTGCAGAGTTCAGCAGGGATGAGATATCTGTGTGCTCTCCTTCCAATCAGCCTGAGGTGATGCAGGTGAAGGTTGCAGATAGAGGGCTACTGTGTAAGCCTGAATGGTCATATGGATCTCTCCTTCCTCAGATCTTTCCTTGATCCCGCCCTTTAAGTATTCCTCATACGGATCATGTAAATAGAGAAAAGTGCATAGTGCTTTATCATTGATAAAAATACACATGCATGTGAGTTTTTCAGCTTTTTTAACGTTTTTGCATTAGAGTTTTTGCATTTGCGTTTAGCAGCGTTTTTTCACGTTTAGCGGCATTTTTCCGTGTTTGCTAGCTTTTTTTTTTTACCTCCCCTCCAAAAACGCTGGTTTGCAGTGTTTTACCACATTTTTCAGTGTTGGAACGTTTTTATAGCTAAAAAAAACTCCTCTACAAACCCACTTGTCCTGGGTTTTTTTTCCAGCCAAAAAACGTCCCTGCCAAAAACAGCAGCTATTAAAAAGTCCAGTGTGCATGAGGACTTAGAAGTCAAATCTATACTGTGTGAGTACAGAGCTCGGTTAAAGATGAACGCCGTTGTTTTAAAAAAGGAAGAGATCCTCTCCCTATCTTTGCAGCTGCTTTGCTACAATTCTTTACCTGCCTTATGTATGGGGGATATTGAAATGGGACATTCCATCTCTAACTGGAAATTGGAAGGCCTGCCTGATATTACCACATTCACATGATCTAAACTGTAATAGGAGACATTTCATTCTCTCACTAACCCTGTAGACATTCACGATCTTTCAGACATAGCAGAGGATGCCTCTTATTAAACCTCAATAGGAAACATTTCATTCTCTCACTAACCCAGTAGACATTCAGGATCTTTCAGACATAACAGAGGGTGCCTCTTATTAAACCTCAATAGGAAACATTTCATTCTCTCACTAACCCAGTAGACATTTAGGATCTTTCAGACATAACAGAGGGTGCCTCTTATTAAACTTCAAGCACTGTGTATATTTCTAGTGGCTTTGCTTTTATGACTGGCTGTACATATGTATAGGCAATTTTAACATACAACTGAAAAGCCAGTAGTATGAAAAGCTAAAGTGTAACGTAAGAAAAATATTAATACAGAAACTTAACTATACCATATGTTTTCTATTATGCTGCTAAAGGATGTGTCATTTCATACAACTAGTATTGTTATCTACACACCTCTGTCACACTGAGTAGCCAGGCAGTTGACACACTTATTTCTTTTTTTAGCAATGCAGCTTCCTATGTTCTAGCTCTAGCTTGTTCAGTGAACAATAGATCACCTTTAGCACTTCCATCTATGAACAGGTACAGTGAAGTATCCCAAAAGCATGTGGGAATATGTTTTATGGGCTGACGAAACCAAGGTTGAATTTTTTTGGCCATAATTCCAAAAGATATGTTTGGCACAAACAAACTGCACATCACCAAACAACACCATAGCTACAGTGAAGCATGGTGGTGACAGCATCATGCTTTGGGGCTGTTTTTCTTCACCTGGAACTGAGGCCTTAGACAAGGTGAAGGGAGTTATGAACAGTTCCAAATACTAGCCAATATTGTCAATCTAG